GCTTAGTATCAACATCGAATCCTATTAGGTGGACTAATAACAGATTTTCATGATAGAGCTTAGACACTGATACTATGTGAAAATTGTGTATGCAAGTTTAATACAAGACTTGCATCTAATCTAAAACCAATCAACAATAGGTAGCATAGTCCTTGTATTTTATGTGTTTGATATGAAAGTTTCTCACTCAACACTGCCTTCCACATCATTTGTAGTCTAGATTGCAAACTATAACAAAATTGGTGGCAAATTAGCACCAATGGTTCATTGACATGGCACAATCAAGACCAATAGTTGGGCTAATTAGACACGTGACATTTACTCATTGGTTTTTTAATTTTAAGAGTAAAACCAATTGCTTAAGATCAAGCGCTACCACTTGCACCAAAAGTTGCGACACGTGGTGCTAACATAACTCAATTCCTTTATCCCTAGCAACGCAAAATCTCGCTTCTACACGTGCTACGGCTGGGCCTCAGGGGCTTTGCAAGGCCATCCTGAGGTACCTCACTCATTGGGCCTCGACAAATTGGGCTATCAAGCACCGATATTGGCAACTAAGATATCTCACCTAGTGGATCGATAGCGAGTCTATAAGAAGATTGCCAAACCACAAAATCCAACAAAGTTGAGCTCAAACTTCAAATATTTATAATACCATACAAGAGTCTAGAAATATTTCATTAGAGTAGAAGAAAATAACATCCCAAAGTCACATTAAAATGATGCTGGTAATCATAGAGCTGTTCTTTTTTTCCTTCCTTCTTAACCGTACAACATAATTGAAGTGGAGAATTTTGTTGTAGACTTCTATGACTTCAATTTGTCTTTTAACCACAAGAATATAGATCCATCATAAACATTTAGAAAAACTTGATCCGCTCACTATTAATTATCCTTTCAGTGGCCCCCAAGGATGCCTTTTTAACTCCATTTCGTTGCCTTTTGTAAAACTTTAGCATTTGCAATTATTAAAGGAAAGAGCCCACAACGATGATGTTTCCCTGTTCCCTCTCTGTCGATGGTGTCTCAATAATCAAAATAGAACTCAATTAGGTCACAAACAAACATCAATAAGATGCATAAAGAAAAATATCTAGGGCTAAATAAAACAGCATTCCATCCTTTCAAATTGACAAGCACTGTTCATTGCAGTAGTCAGAATATTTCCTTGCATCTTGTCGACAAAATGTGAATTGCTACCCTGTTGGCTTTCCAAACTTGTATTGACATTGAACACCATTGTTACAAACGATGAATTTTCGTTCTAATTTCAGAAATGTTAACGAGGCAGTTACATGCATAAAATTTACCATGAGATCAGTCTTTCAACCAAAGAAGACAGAACACGTGTCCCCGAAATCTCAATTGGGAATTTGGAATTATAAGCTCATAGCCCAACAGATAAGAGTCCATGCCATGGTGTTTACACTTGATTTCAATTCCCGATCCAACAGTTATCCGTGGATCATCAACTAAATTTGCCGAGTTCCATCTTCTTCTTGATTGCCCTTTGACCATGGTATACAAAAGCATCCAATATTCCCGAAACAGTGAAAACACCTAAGGACAATAAATCAAACATGTTACCAATGAATATGTAAGTTAATTACTGAACTAACAGTTTATGAGTAAATTAATCATTTAACATCATACTGAATCATTAAGCCAGGTAGTTGGTAACTCAGTATTAAACCTTTCTTGCACTCACTTCAATGCAAAAGCTATTTGAATTAAGTCATATGAAAAAACAAAAAGGTTGATATTAGTTTTTAGCACCAATGCTATGTGTATTAATTTAATTGGTTAGTTATTCAAATTAAGGTCAACTTTTATTTTTTCAATGTAACTTAGTGACATTCATTACACTCTTAACTTGTGCCCTTAAAGCACAATTAAAAAATCCTTCAATGAAAAGACCAAATACTTAAAATGTTTGTAAGGGTGCCTTAGATGTATCTTTTAGGTATTAATTTACATAAAATAAAAAAATAAAAAAGATGATATTAATTTTAGTACCCATGACATGTGAATGTTTTTAATTGGACAATTGGTAAAATCAATGTCAACTTTTGTCTTTTAGATGTATATTAATGATAAAAATCTGCAATAATTAATGATAAAAATCTGCAATAAATACACAAAAACCCATACTTAAAGACATCAATTACCGAAGAAACAGAGTGCTTTTCAAAGTCAAACAGGCAAAAAATGCCTCCTGCCAAGAAAAGAAAAGCAGGAGAAATGTTAAGTACTACTCCCTCTATTTCATTTTATTAGTCACACTTTCTTAAAAATGGTGTTTCAATTTATTTGTCATTTTGTAATTTAATCAAAGCATTAAAAGCATTTTTTCCAACTTTCACCCCTTAAGTAAATGAAAACACACGTTTCATTACCACTTTAGATTTAAATTAAAGGTAAATTTCAACTGCTATTGATTGTATTGACCATGAATTTTTGTATTTTCTATGTAATCGTGTCAACAAAAAAGAGTGGCTAGTAAAATGAAACGGAGAACTAATAAGGACAAAACCAAAACGGTTAAATCATGTCACAGAGGAGAATGTCTTAGTCGTTAATAAAGCAAGCGGATTACCCAGAACAAAATAAGTTAAATAAAGGCTGCTGCCTGTAATTACTGCAAGATCAAAATAAGGATTATGTTTAATTCATCTTTGTCCTTTTACTTTAAAATATGAGCAATAATTACTAGAGCAAAGAATAATCATGGAATGGAGAGTTTGATTACCTCCAACTATGGCACACACATTTGTTAAGAAGTGCAGGAATGAGATGTGCTCCTCCAACACAGTCACCTGCAATAATTAAAATGAGCCAAAGAAAGGTAAGGGTGAAAATATATCCCAAAACAATCCTGGAAAATTCTAGCCATCCAGTATTGCCAAAAATTTACCATTGAAGAATACAAATAGCAAAAAGGCAAGGAAAAACACAAAATCTTGGAATCAGATGTACTTGCTAAAGCTAAACATAAAAGGTAAAACCAACCTTGATTGGAGAAAGATCATAGTAGAAAAAGACTCCTGGAAGGGACTGTAGATGACCTATTTCTTGATTTTTGAAATGCTCTGTTACAGAAAACTGCAAAAAGCAAATGCTCGGACATTAATAATTTACATTAAATAAAATAAATAGTAAAAAATTAAAACATCCTAAGTTCTATCAATACCTGATTTGACTGGATAGTGTGCCCTCTTGTATCTGTGTACACGGTAGGTACAACCTGCCAAGAGATCACTTTTGTAAGATTCCTAAAAGCAAAAAATGCTCTAACATTGATCCACTCAGTGCGATCCAGGGTTATCAATAGCGAATAGCAGCCAATAGCAGGAAGGTAAAAATCTGCTATGATAGTGTAGTGGATAGCGAAGCGGCTGCTATTGACCAAATAGCGGCCATTATAAAAAATAAAAATATAGAAATTTAATAAACAGAATAATGGACCTAATAACAAAAAGGCTTTGAATGACTTAATAACTCAAAGGAAACTAAGACAATTCCAAATGACCTTATAACTTAAAATGACTTAATAACATAATACTCTCGAGTAAATAAAGTCATAATAATCAGAATAAATAGAGCTATAAGACAATAAAATAAAACACAAAGGCAGCTGACAATTCCAATTCCTAAGAATTAAGAATTTAAAATCAGCAAGAGAATAGAACCATAAAGCTTAAATACTTTAAAAATCAAAGCTTTTCTTTTGGCCCAAATAAAAATCAAAGCTTAAGTGCTAAAAAAGGGGGCATGGAGTTCTTCTAGGCTTTGTAAGGTCAGGGGCATTGAGTTTTGGGCTTCTGCAAAATGTCAGGGGCATGGGCAACTGGAGTGGCGACGAGGTTGATTGGCTCTGGGGCTTGGATTGCTAGTGACAAGGTTGATCAGTATTAGGAGGTGTTTTGCTGGGTTGCTGTTTAGTTTTGCTTTGCTTCTGCGATGTCAGTTGTGAGAAAGAGGCAGAAGACAGATCAGTTTGAGATGAGATTTAGGGTTAATTTGAGTGTGTTTTATTACTTTTTTTTTTTTAATTAAATAAACTAAAATGAAAAATTTACCCTTAAAAAATGAATCTAATTTGCTAAAATGGGGTGATTTCGGTCTTTTAAGAAGGAAAGTACAATAGCGTGGATAGAAGGCACCATCCGCTCCCTAGGTGGTGGCCGCAATAGCATCTGAAGTGGACACTATTGGAAAACTGCCACGTTATGGCTGTTTTTATAGTGGCAGCCCCTATGAGCACTGCATTATGGCCGCTATAGCGCCATAGCGGGCGCTATTGAGCCATAGCGGGCGCTATTGACAACACTGGTGCAATCTACAATACAAGGAATTAATTATCCAGTTTTAATATGAACAGATTGTCTAATATGGTTATGCAGCCAATTTGAGAATTTTAACCTTCTCTTCAGTTGTATTTTTCCATTAGTTTGAAGGACTAAAGACTCCAGTTTATATGGCTTCAAGGTCTTTAATAAAGGTAGAATGAGTTCATTAAAGTGAAAATCTATGCAACATATATAGTGCAACTTCAACTAAGAGAATCTTGTTTGGAAGCTCCAGCATGATCAGAAAAGAGCCATCGAATGAAAATGAGAACCTGAAGAGACATCAATGCAGAACTAACCTTTATAAAGTATTGATACATCCCACTTGGTGTTTCTTGGGTCCATTGAACACTGAAATTCGGAAAAAATACAGAACATACTAGTGTCAGTATCTACATCATTACAGGCAAAGTGAGTGTACTGAAATTGCAATGGCAGTATACTGGAGTATAAGCAGCTGAAGAAAGAAGAGAGAATTACCCATTCAGAGGATTCACGACACCAGGGAAATAATCTCCAAAAGATAATTTGTTTATCTTGTGGCTTATCTGTTTCATATATTTAATTAATAAGATAGCTTATTTATCAACCCGTGCCAATTTGATAAGAAAAAAAAAAATTGCAACAAAAAGTGCTTCTGCCTGACAGAATGACATAAGTGGAACATATCATACATTAAAATTGTCCCCTTGAAATGCCAGCAGGTCGTGTAAAAGAATATTTGATTGACGAATGCTCTTTCCAGGAGCAAAATGGAAATTCCCCGCAACCCTATTAACTTCCAAGAATCCATAAATATTGCATCCTTCACCTTCTTCATCCTTGACCCTCTGAAGAAATCCCTCCCTTTTGCACTGGACAACATAAACAACCAAAAAATGACTAACCCAAGGGACCAGATAGATTAAAGGGGAAAAAGAAGCATCATTATGAGGGGCCTGAAGCCAACATCACAGACTTAGTCACTTTAAAGAAAATAAAACTTAATGATACATCTACAAGAAGCAAAAGGAGTACAAGTAGCTTCTGAATCAGATTGAACATAAGCCTAGGCAGACAGACCTGGTCAATCAAGTCTACATTTGACAGTGCCCAACCTTTCTTTCGATAGGCTTCACGAACTTCCTCACAGGAATTACAACAATCATCATCCCCCTACAATGTTACAAAAGAAAAAGTAAATAAATTTAGGGATCAGAAGTGGAGCAAAATATACTCTTAGTGAACAGGGATTCACAAGTTTTCTATAAATATATCCCAAACAAGCTCAGACCACATCATACAGTCAGCCTCTACAAGTACAGAAAACTTCAAAAACCAGATCAATTGAAAGAAACCCAGCAGAAGGAGAATGACTAAAAATAAGTGCTGCATCAAACAGTCAATTTAACTGCATAGCTAGTTGATTTAATTTTGATTGGGGTATAACCAGAGGCTTTGAGGGGTTCCAAATTCTAAATCTACAGAAACTTAAATTCAGAATATGCTAGCAACAGAAATTAAGTTCAAGGGCTTTGACCATGTTGCATGTCTAATTATAAAATTGCAAAATCCAGAGTACTACCGTCCCACATAATCTAAATCAAAGTGTACCTACAAAGGTTGGCAATCATATATGGTGCAAGCAAGCAAAATGAAGTCGATAAGAGAAAACTCACCGCTTCTGCCCCGTAACATGAACCACAATATGTTTCATTGTGCTCAAGCCTGCCACCATGCCTTTGTAAAGGCTTTTCAATCTGTGTGAAACAGAAATAACAATAAGGAAATGGAAGAAATGAAAACAAGAAAATAAGTCCCTCAATCCTTCATCAACAAAACATCTTAGAATAATTGTGAAGCAAGGGAAACTGAGCAAGAAAATATATGCAACCTTATCACGGTAAAAGGAACATTTTAAAAATTCTACTAAGAGTGAGTAATACCTCAACTGACATTCTACTAATATTATTCAATAAGAAACAGACTGCCTGAGCTGAAATGTCTCCTCTACACTACACTAACCATCTCAATTCTTTTAAACAAGAATGCTCTATGATGCAATTAACTGAAATTTCTCAAGTGCCTCTTTGCACCTCAGCAAGTGGTGTGGCCTGAGTCCATGCTGGCATGCTGTAATTTCCATGCCATTTTCCCCTTGCTCTTTATAAAGAAAATAGATTGGGAATGCTTTAGTATCATAGCAAGTCTTTCACCTTTTCAACATAACTTATTTTCCAATAAAGATCTCATGGGACCAAAATTGAAGAAACTTTCTAAAATTCACCAAAATGAAGACATTCTTTTGATGCAACAATAATACAAACTGAATTTAGGAGTAATATGAAAATAATTTAGTCTAGGAAAATATTGCCCTGAATGGCCTAAACCAATAACAACATATGCTTATTAGTCATGTCTTTGACAAATTTATTCTCCATACACAAGGATAAACTTCATAGCAATTGGCATAGTCGAACATCATTTCTCACTAAGATTATCAAAAGTAGACTTAGAAACAAAAACAAGCAGGTGTGATAAATAGAAATAAATAAAATATGAAAAGCAGATTGCTTACCTTAGGAGAACCAATACCATCTTGTCTTGCTTCTATAACATTCCCATGAGAATCCAATCTTTTTTTAAATATGTCATGTTTCTGCAAATTATATAAAACACAAACAGATACATATCACTAAGACTTTAACACACAAAGGTGGTAAGTATGAAGTACATACATGGATGATCAACTAACATGTGTGTACTTGAGAGAGAGAGGGAGAGAGAGAGAGAGAGATACCACATCAAGGTGTTCTGCCCCACTTATGTCCATGGCATCAAGACTTATGATTGAACATGCAAGGGCAGGAAATGTGATGTCAAACTGCACTTTCAGTTCAAAGGAATCACAATCAAATAATCAATTATTAAATGGATCACTGAAATGATTCACAACAGCACAAGGGATAGTAACACCAGAACATGTATAATAAATCATATAAGCCCTAATTTGGTGAGATTATGATGTATCTTCAAGTGAAGGTTGGAATAGAAAACAACATTACATTGATACGTAGAGTTTCTCCCCTTGAAGTGTCGACCACAAGCTTTGTTTCAGTCACAGGATGAAGATATAATCCTACAACCAAAAGGAAATATGAAAAGTTGATGGAAAGGAAACAATAACGTAATTAACATCCGGAATAAGAAAAAAATTAAGTCCATTCAAATGACTCAATCTTGGAATCATGCAATTCTTTCATGTAAAGTTAAAATAACACATCAAAAGACGGCAACTACGCTTGTTTTTCCATGATTGGATTATAACTCATTTTGATATCATTGCAATTCAGTTCCATACTTTTATATCAAATGAAAACACTATCTACAGCAACAAGTTTTAATTACCAACCAATTCTATTAAACAAATCTGAAAACTAACCTCAAAAAATTCCCAACTTAATCCTTGCATTACATTAACAGCTTGGAATTCTCCACCTACCTTACTAAAATTTCCAGTTGCATCAGTATCCAGCATTCACAAGAACTTTGCCTTGAGTAGATTTCAGTTTAAAAAAATCCAAAGGAAATTGGATTAAAAAAACCTTGGTTCCAATTAATTCTTAACCTAAGCTGTACTGAGAAAAACATCTAGCAAATGATACACTTCAATTTCCCCGAATACACTAAGATGCATGATGCAGCTTGCAGAACCCTACCAAACAACCAAACACAAAAAATCCGGCAAACCTGAAATAGAAAACACCATTACCGAGACAAACTCGAAATGAAAAAAAAGCACATAACAGACTAATTTCAGATTAACAAGCAAACGAATCAATATAGATATTAAAAAGTACAGATTGGAGAGGGCAAACACTTACGGAGCTCGGAGAAGAAAAGCAAGAACATGACGATGGAGGAGGCGAGAGTAATAACACCACCGGAGGTGGTCCGGCGGTAAAAATCTTCATTGATTTTGGGATAAGCATCCAAAGTCCTCAACTTATGCATCAAAGCAGCCATGATGGGGAAGACGATTTGGTTTGATTGATGAAAATTTCTTAAAACCTAATCTAATTTAACAAAAACGTAATGATAATCTCTAACTCTACAATTACTAGCCTAAGAAATTATAACGAAAAATCTAAACACCCCGCTGAGATTGTTGACGAATTTTGAATCCGTGTCTGAACGAGGCGTTTAGGATTTCCCGGAGGAGGGGTTCTTCTACTTTTTATTTTTTTGGTTTTACTTCTAAACAGGAACGAGGCCCGTTTGGTCTCCGAAAAAAATGCAGAGAACACGGGCTGCCTTTCCGTTTCGACGGCATCTACGGTCAACAGGTACGGACATACGGCATTATTGGTTTCTGCAGTTTTACCGTATTTCCTGTATCATCGTTGATTTTTTACCATATTTCTGATTAATTCCATTTTTATTCTTCTCTCGTTTTTTCAGCTTTTTTGTTTTTTTTTCCTTCCAAACTAGGGATGGCAATTTCTCTCTATTTCCGTGGAATCCCTGTCACGGAAACGGGTGGGGATGGGAAACCAGTAAAAGTATAAATAAAGATTTTAATTTTGTATTTTTTTTATTTAAAGATGTTAATTTTGTCAGTTTCTAAATAAAGATGTCAACTTTTAATTTTTTTCTAAATAAAGATGTTAATTTTTAATTTTTTTTTAAATAAAGATGTTAACTTTGTCA